GGGAGAGTTTCTGATTGAGATCGTGTAAACGAGGATCGAACCGCGTATAGGTTCAACCGGTCCACAGACACTCCGTAATACTGAACTGAGAACTACATACACCTTTCTGAGAGGGAAGTATGGCACAGCTCCTATGCTCCATATGTCACTAGCGGGGGTCTGCTGCCGCCCGGCAAAGACCTCTGGAGCGGCAAAACCTGGCGTACCACACTTCGAGTAAATCTGAGTGGTATCGTTCTCGAGACAACCTGATAAGTAAGAAGCCTCCCTATACTGCCATTTATGAAGCCTTACTCCAACCGAAGTCGGTAAGTCGAATTTGTATGTCCCCTGGTGTTAGATTTGATATGAGGATATTGTCCGGTTTGATATCCCGATGGATCACACCATTATCGTGTAAATACCTCAGCAATGACCGCCTCTTGTGAGGCACACTAGAAGGCAATCCTACCTAGTTGCAGCCGCAAGTTGATCTATGATAATAGCAGCAGTACACGCCGTGATACTCAGGGGTAACGTCTTAACAGCAGAATCGACAGCCAAGGTGGCCAGAGCACCCGAGAGTGATCCAAAAGGACACCATTCGAGCAGCATGTAACTGACCCTTGAGCCTCGGACCACCACTGAATGGTCCGACTACATTCGCCTGGAATCTTCGAAATAGTCGTGGAGAGCTACGATGTTGGGGTGAGTGCACATCCGGGAATGGAGACTAACTTCACGTTTCATCTAAAGGGAATCGGTCCAGATTGATCTCACTGATGCTCTCACATGCTCGGCCATATTCCTAGCCTCAAGTGGACCCTTGGTGACCGTTTTCAAGGCATAGAACTTGTCCTTTCGTACTACTAGGGACACTCTGGCGAAACTACCTAAACAGAGCACCCATATTAGATCGCTCTTAACAGCTATGCCTACCTTCCCCTAGTTGAGGCCTTGCCTCCTCAGCGAGCTCGAAGCCCGAGTCCAGCAGCTCCTGGGGTAACGAAGAGGCCGCCTTAGGTGAGGTCAAACAGCGAGATGCGGAAGCTCTCTATACACAGAACTCATCATAAGCTCTCTCGGATTTCCCACTTACCATCACATTTGCTACCAAGTGCTCTCTCATGTCCCCCTTGGTCATAATAGGCAGACGACGACCTGAGCGGACTAGTGCATCACTAGGTCCACTCCCCCGAGGTGCAGCAGGGGGCAACTCAGGGATGAGGTAATCCCGTAGCCGGGCATCCACCGCCACTAAAGCCTTGATGGCACCACGACCAAGGTAGGAGGCGATCTGAGTGACGATACTCCCAGACTGACCAGGTCAAGTCCAGCTTACTGCTAGCATAGTGGGCATTGGGATGTCTAGCAGACCTATTGACGTCTCTCTCCCAACAACCGATCGGATTGTCCTCGAAGTCGTCCTGGACCACTCAGCCAAGGGCAATACTGGACCTACAAAGGAAAGTATTGGCCTTGGTGGGAAACCTGTGTAACACATGTAGTTTCCGCGTCATACGCCCGCTCGGGAGATTCCCCTCCGTCTCGAATGACCCGCTTCAGCCAAGCTACCATCAAAGCAACAAGCAATCACTCAAATGACCCACTCTACTGTACGCAACAACATGGCACCCTTGTACGCTCACATGCTCATGCATTCACTACTATTGCTTCTAGTACTAAAAGAGCACTAGAAGAGGGAGCAGCTATGATAATGATGAGAGTATGGTTCAATAGTACCAATGAAC